CTGGGTCAGCAGAGCTTGCTGAGCTGGGATTTCAAGTTTGTCACTTCTGCTATGGGATTGTATTCTCAATCTGTTGCTAGATGGTTGCAACCACTTTACTTCCAAGCCAACGACACAGCTGGACCCTGGTCCCACCAGTGCTGACTTAGCTGCAAACCTGGATGAGCTGAGCAACCTCACTGGCTACAGTGACTTGTGTGGCTCCTGCCTCTGGGAAGATGTCAAGCCATTCATAATTTGGGGAATTCTGATACCAGGAAGCACCTCCCAGCACACCAGATTGGCCCACCTACAACCTTGGCCTTCCAGTAAAAATGCAGAAGAGCTCAGACCCTCACCTTTCTGGGCTGATGGGGTGGAAGGGTCTATGTCCCCTGGCACAAAGTTCTTCTGATGGTTAAAGAACCATCTAGAGATTATTTTGGGCAGGGACAGGGAAGGGCCCTTAATACTTCATCCCAACTTCCTAGGAAGGCCAGCTAAAATGGTCACACACACACAGTGGCCTTCCAGCACCTGAAGGGGTTCCAGGAAAGCTGGGAAGAGGCTTTTTACAGGGGCTTGCAGGGAGAGGACAAAGGGGAATGGTTTTAAGCTGAAAGAAGACAGATTTAGGTTAGAGATCAGGTGGAAATTCTTCAGTGTGAGGGTGGGGAGAGCCTGGCCCAGGTTGCCCAGGGAAGCTGTGGCGGCCCCATCCCTGGCAGTGTTGAAGGGCAGGGTGGATGGGGCTTGGAGCAACCTGGGCTGGTGGGAGGTGTCCCTGCCCATGCAGGGGGTTGGGACTGGATGATCTTGAAGGTCCCTTCCAACCCAAACCAGTCTGGAACAATTAACATATGGGTCTATGATTAAGCAGTTTGAATCATACTATTTGTAACCTGCCCCATTCCCCTTATAAATTGTTGGGTGTATAAAATGCTCATGACAAGAGCACAGATTTTTCTGCATTGCTCTGATGTCACCCTTCAGGAGAGCTGTGGGTGCCAATGGAACACTCCATGATGGAGTTTGATTTACTCTGCACAGACAGACCCAAAGCTGGAGGCTCCACTTACCTGGACTCAGGCTTCCATGTGCTGTGTCCTCAGCTGCTGCTCCCACCAGGAGAACCCCAACAGTGCCCTTACCATGCAGTGCACCCTCCTGCATGGGCACACACCTACCCCTGCACACCATCACCAGCCAGCCTGGTTTTTAGGGCAACATGGATGTAAAAAAGTGGGTCTAAGCAGTGGCCCAAGCTTCAGGGGACATTGAGAAGCACCCAGCCTGGGGACAGGAACACACTTACACGTGATGCTTTTTACCATGCGACCTCTTTTCTTGGCTGTAACTTGGGTGAGTGGCAAGTGGGATGGATGGACCAGGAGGTTAATCTGCATTGGCCATTTCTCTTGATTTTTCCCTCATTTCCATTTCCTTTTAAAATGGAAGTTCCATTAAAACAGCAGCACTTTTCTATTAAGAAAGTAACAGAGAGGGATGGCTGCTGCTCTACCTCATCAGCAGTGAATCTCTCTCAAACCACTCCAGAGGCAAGGCTCAAATCATATCTTTAATAAGAACCACTTTGAGATCACTTTTAGAAGCAATTAACATATGATTAGAGATAAGCTCAAGATGCAACATTTAGATCCAGATTTCTAAGACAGATTCAGGAGGGTGCAGAGCCCAGGTCACCTCCTCAGCAATGGTCTCTGCATGTCACACACCAGTGTGGGAACAGAACTTCAGGTACACGAGCACAGCAGGTGAAATTCTTGCTTCCAATCCTGATTTTATTCATGCTGCTGCTTTTCAGCCATTTGAGAGATTTCTTGGTACCCCAGTGAGAACGAACCAACCACCTCCACAAGGTTTCTGCCCTACCTGAGGGTCCTGGAGACAAGTGTTCACTTCCACCACCCCCTTCCTTTTGGATATTCAGGCATTTGCTTTCTATATGGAGCATGAGGGGAACACAGAACTGAGCCTTCAGGTTTTTAGAAGGATCAGAAAAGCCCACCACCAGCAGGATCCCCATCACCAATGGGAACCCTACCACCAATGGGATCCCCATCACCAACAGGATTCCCATCACCAGCAGGATCTCCACCACCAATGTGATCCCCACCACCAATGTGATCTCCACCACCAATGTGATCCCCACCACCAATGTGACCCCCACCACCAATGGGATCCCCACCACCAATGGGATCCCCACCACCAAAAGGATCCCCACCACCAATGGGATTCCCACCACCAAGAGGATCCCCATCACCAGTGGGATCCCCATCACCAATGGAATCCCCACCACCAGTGGGAACCCCATCACTAATGGGATCCCCATCAGCAGGCTCTCCTGTGCCACCTGAGGACAACCCCCCGAGGACACGTCCATCACTTCCAACGAGCAGCACAAGTGCCACCTAAGCAGCTGGAGATGCTTGATGGTGCATCCTGCTTCTTCCCAGGTCTGTGGAGCAACAAGGCCACCCCAGAGTGACTTTGTCTGACAATCCTGTGGGTTAAACAGAGCAAGTCCCTCCTGCCTGGTGGCTGCAGCACGTGCTGTGGATCCAGCAGCCGAGGTGCAGCCGCGCATTCGTTCCTGCTGCCCGTGGCAGGGACAGAAATCTCCAGCAGGGAAGCAGATGGAAGGCTGGGGGTGGTGGCACCTTATACCACCAGGATGATCTGTGACCAAGTCCACCTGTTGGTGGCCTGAGTGCTGGCAGGACTGGAGCTGACTCGGGAACAGTGAATCACAGCACAGGCACCATCCAAGGGCTTTTCGGTTCTTCATCCCGAATCCCGGAGGCTTTTCCCAACTCAACACAGTGTGTGGCTTCCACTGGGCACTGACAGAAACTGATGGCTCAATTAAAGGGCATTTTACCACTTTGACCATTAGCTGTGAAGTCTCAAATCCCCCAGACTTCCCTGGAGTCCACTTGATCAGTAACTTGCTCTTTTTAGGAGGCAGCAACAAGTGCAAGGGACAACAGATCATGCAGCTAAAGACATTGTGATCATGTTGGTTTGGTAAGAGCTAAAATTTATTACACAGGAGATGATGAGTGAATAGGAGAGCAAAATTCTACTTGGACTCCCTACTTTGCAATTCAGGAAAACCAAGAGGTTTTACTTCATTAAGGAAGGCAAGGGAAAAAGAAATCAGAGACAACCTCAGTGGACAAGGAAGTCTTGTCAAGCCCAAATGAACAATCAGTTCTAGGTGATGCTCCTTGCAGAAGGAGCAATGAAATATATCTGCTTCTCTTCAATAAATTACTAAAAGATCAATTATAAACCTGCTGCATGGCATTGAAAATTAAACTCATTAAACATCCAGGTAGCTTCATCCTGATGCAAATGGAAGACAGGCAGGGGTGCTCTGCAGCAAACAACTCTGGGCACGTCCTGTCTCTGGGAAACATATTTACAGGTCTAGTTCATATATTAATCTATTTTAGTGCACCCTAGCCAGAGGGCAGCCAGAAAGAGTATTACTCCATGAGAAGGACAGGAGATGGGCTGGCTTCTCCTCTCCACTGAGTGAAGCCTGTGTCCACCCATCACTCTGATATCCATGTAAAACTACTTTGGCAGACCACATTTCCCTTTTCCAGGTAGTCAGACAGCAGGACTCATGATCTCCCATGACAGCTGGGTAGATTTGGCAGCTGTGAGCCAAAAAAAGCAGGTGGGATCGTCTCACTGTATTAACAAGCCTCAAGTGCCTTCAAGGTCAACAGTCTCATCCAAACTGCCATTTACTGGTCTCTTATCCTGCCTCTCCCTTCCTTACTTGCCCACCACCCATGAAGGGCTGCAGAAACATGGCATGGACCATGGGGACAGGCTGACCAAGCAGGTGAGATGTGCCTGAGCCTCAGGAAAAGGACTACACTGCTGTGAAGTTATGGAGACTACCATCCCTGAGGTCTCCTTTCAGAGCAGGGATGCCCTAAAACAAATCCTCGAGCCTCCATGGGAGGGAAGTCCCAGAAGGACTTTCTCTCACCTGACCTGTGGCACACACCAACACATCATTTCCTCCTGCTAGAAGGACAAAAACAAAGGATAAAGAAGGCTGTCCAAAGGGACCATGCCAGGCCATGGACCCCACTGGGAGGGCAAGGGGGTCTGCAGCTTCCCAGGCTCCTAGCTGGCCAACATCTTGCTGTGCAATGCATGGGCTGCTGCAGGGCTGGAAGCATCATGAGACCTCTCCTCACCATCTGTGCATCTAACCAATCTGAATCAGGCCAGTTCTTCTCCAAGGGGAACCCATCTGATGTCTCCAGAGGGCCTGGTGCTGGTTGGTGCTGGCCTGGCCACCAGCAGCCTGTGGGCAATGGAGAGGGGGGCAACAGGAGAGCAGTGGTTTTATTCACTAGGATTTGGGTTGATGATCCGTGTGATCAAGGGTTGGAAAGATCCAGGAGAGATACCAGGGTGAGCTTTGCCTCTCCCAGGCTCAAGAAAGTGGCTGCTGGATGCAGAGGAAAGGGAAAAGGGAAATGGGAGAGATGACCCAACAAACACGACCTTTCCAACTCAGCTCACTTGGGGCTTGGCAATCTTTCCCCTCAGAAGCACCTACATTTTCAGGCCTGCCAGGAAAATCCAGGGTCTCTCCACTCCAGTCATGGTGCAAATCTACTTGGCCCTTTGGGAGAGCTTGGAGACATCTGGGAAAGCAACAGTTCCCTGGCAGTAAAACACTGACCAGGCTGCATGAGCTTCTTACAGTCATTCCAGCAGAAACAAGTGGTACCCTTCAGAGTGCTTACCAGAAGAAAACAGCAGTTCTGACCCAATTTCACACAGCTGGAATCAGCTGGGGGAGACCAACACACAATAAAAAGATGCAAATGCCCATTTCCCCTGTGTCCTCTCCTGCCAACGTGAATAAAGCTCTGGTTTGATATCTTGTCCTTTCCAAAAGGAGTCCAGTTGATCAGTCCGAGTCAGCTGTGGTTTGAGTTAAACTCCTCTGACTCTGCCACCCTTTACTTAATGAAGTTTTTAATCGTCCACCTCTGTCCTGTGCAGCTGCGAAGGATCAGGTCGAGCCCGGCCAGGCCCCTGTTCTCCACCTCCAGGCACCGCCCCGTCCCCTTGTTCAGGATGGCTCCGTTCTGGAATGCAAGGACATGGGGAAATATGTCTGGCAGCACAAGCTTGTCTGGCAGAAACCTGGGGGTTCTCACTGACAAGGGGCTGAACAGGAGCCAGTGTGTGCCCAGGTGGCCAAGAAAGCCCATCCTGGGCTGTATCAGAAATGGTGTGACCAGCAGAAGCCCAGAGGGGATTGTCCCCCTCTGCTCAGCACTGGGAAGGCCACACCTGGAGTGTTGGGTCCAGTTCTGGGCACCTCAATTCCAGAGGGATCTCAAGGGGCTGGAGCCAGGACAGAGGGGGCAACGGAGCTGGGGAAGGGCCTGGAGAATCAGTCTGATGAAGAACACTTGAGGGAGCTGGGGATGTTTAGTCTGAGGAAGAGGAGGCTGAGGGGCCACCTCATCCATGGGCACAAATCTGTTCAGGGCAGTGTCAGGAGGACAGAGCCAGGCTTTGTGCAGGGATGTCCAGTGACAGGACAAGGGGCAGTGGGTGCAAACTGGAGCACAGGAGGTTCCATGTGAATCTCAGGAAGAACTTCTTTGCTGTGAGAGTGCCAGAGCCCTGGGCCAGGCTGCCCAGAGAGGCTGTGGAGTCTCCTTCTCTGGAGACATTCCAACCCCCCTGGCCACGTTCCTGTGTGATGTGCTCTGGGTGCCCCTGCTCTGGCAGGGGGGTTGGGCTGGGGGAGCTTTCCAGGTCCCTCCCAACCCCTGGGATCCCGTGATTCTATGAAACCTGAAGTCGTGGGCAGGGCAGGTGACACACACCTGAGGGTGTCAGAGAGATGGCAAGAGGGTTGGACCAGATGATCTTCAGAGGTGCCTTCCAACCCTGCCTGCCCCGTGACTCTGTGAGAAAGGGGAACTTCTAGAAACTGCCCTAAAACACCATCCCCACCTCTGGTCCCTCCTGACCTCGTCCCTCAGCCTCAGCACCCGCTGCCCCCCGGGGACCATCCCATCTCCATCCCAAACTGTCCCACGCCCGTGGCGACGTGCAGAGAAGCACAGGGAAGTAGAGGAGCAGAACTGTCACCAACCTGTATGAAACTCCAGCGCTTGTGGAGGCTGCTCTTCACCTTCTCACAGTCCAGGAGCTGCGGGAAGCGGCTCTTCCCGGTGTCCACCAGGCAGCGGGTGTCGGGCAGCAGGGTGGTGGTGCCCAGGGCCCCCAGCTGCAGGAAGCCCTCCTTGGTGTAACGTGCCAGCTGGGGGCAGGGGAGGAGAGGGGGAAAGAGCATCAGCACCTTTGGAGCATCATGAGGAAGCAACAGAGGAGAGGGAAGAGCCAGGAGAAGGCTGAGAGGAGGATGCACGGGAAGAAGGACTGAGAAGGGGGGGGGCAAAAAAACAACTTTCTCCAGGTTTTTATGCTTGGTTTGGGTTATTTCTGTAGGTTCTGGAGCTCTGGGGAGGGATGAGAGCAGCTCTGAGCCTCACAGCCAGCATGGGCAGGCTGCTCCAGCCTCCCTGGGGCCTGAGCACTCGGCACTTTGGGGCAGGGGAAGGATCTCCCGTGGCTTTTGGCCACTGCCAGCTGGCTTGGCTGGGCACCCTGGCCCAGCCCTTGACTTCTGGCATGCCTGGCAAGCCAGCCTTGCTCTGCCCTGCCAACCTTGCTCTGGGGTGTCTGGCACAGCCCTCCAGCAGCTCCAACCACAGCTGGGCAGCACCACCTGCCAAAGGAGGCCCAGAGACAATTGGCCCCATTCCCCAGAGATCCAAGCCCAAACCTACCCCCCCTGGTTCAGCAAAGGCTCAGGATTGCAACCCAGCCCCCCCACCACATCAACCCCCACATCCCACCACCCAGGGCTTTGTCTGGGCTGTCCCCACAGGCTCAGGGGTGCACTGAGACATCCCTGCTCCTCCATGGGCAGTGCTGAAGGAACACAGCAAATACATCCCTCCCCATATGGACACCCAGGAGGGAGGAGCTGGGGGACAGCAGCTCCCTCCTGCACTCCATGGGAAAGACAGACACAGCTGCTTATTTAAATTATGAATCAATCCATTATCCAGCAGACAAATAAGGAGTATTCAGCACGTTAATTAACTGTGCAGATCTGTGACCCAGATGCTTAAAAAGGCAGTAAATCACACCAGGAGCTGGAGTTACCACCCTTGGAATAATTAAACACTGAAAATCAAGTTAAAATAATGTAACTGGGTCCTGCTCCAGCCAGTAACCACGGAGATGATTATGGTACTTGAAGGCAGTTTTTCCATCCCTGGGTGGGGCTGGTAGGTGTGCTGGACCCTCTGGTGCTGCTCACCAGCCTTGGGGTGGGTGCCTGCTCCCCACTGTTGGTGGAGTTACACTTCACCCAACATGTTGTGTATCACAGCAAGGCCTCCAGCACTTCCCATCTCCCAGCACTTCCCATTTCCCAGCACTTCACTTCACATCTCCCAGCACTTCCCATCTCCCAGCACTTCCCATCTCCCAGCATTTCCCATCTCCCAGGGGTCTCTTTACACAACCATAGAATCATTCTGTTTGGGAAAGACCTTTCAGATCATAAAGTCCAACCATAACCAAACTCTAACCCCTGACCTGACTCTACTGAGTCCAGTGCCAGACCATGTCCACCTATATGTCTTTTAAACAACTCCTGGGTTGTTGGTTCAACCACCACCCTGGGCAGTGTGTTCCAGTGGTTAATTATTCTTTCAGTGAAGAATTTTCTTCTGACATCCAATCTAAACCTCCCTGGCACAACTTGAGGCCATTTCCTCTTGTCCCATCCCTTGTTCCTGGGGAGCAGAGCCCGACCCCCCTGGCTCCAACCTCCTCTCAGCAGCTGCAGAGCCAGCAGGTCTCCCCTCAGCTCCTTGTCTCCAGGCTGGACACCCCCAGCTCCCTCAGCTGCTCCTCAGAAGACTTTACCCACAGTATTCACCCCAGGCAGATCCCAGTGCAGCAGGTCACATCAGTTGATGCTGGCATGGGACAAAGCTGCCACATCCCACCCCCTGGTGCTGGATCTGCTCTTCTGGCCCCCAAAAACCTTTGGCAAGCTGGTGCAGAACAGCACACAGCTCTTTAGCTTGACAGTAATTCCCCCTCCAAACTGCTGGGCTGGTACAGAGGGGTGGGAGGGAGGGAGTCTGCAGAGCTAGAACCATCACATTCTCCTCCTTCCACCCACCCACCAGCTCCCCAGGCACAGGGTGATAGGGATCAAACCCAGCACTGAGCTTGGCTCACCCTGTGCCCTGAACACGAGGCTGGAGCAACCTGGGAATGACCCCTGGGCAGCCCCAGCCCAGCTGAAGGTTCAGCTTCTATTTCTTTGGCTTCAGCAGTTTGAGGGGTCAGGCCTGGATGAGATGGTGCTCCCAGTCTGATTCTGACCACCAAGCTCACCTGGGTCCCTGCTTGAGCAGCACCACAGAGAATGTGGCCATTGCCTTGCAAAAAACAGAGAAGCACATCAACAACCAGACAAAAAAAAAAAAAAAAAGACAATCCCTCTCCCTGACAGATGGAAGAACACCCAGAGGTCCCAAATGGGCAGTGCAAGTTATTCTCCTCCTGTTGCTAAAATGTTTCCTCCCATGAGCATCTTAGACATCTCCTTTTCTTCTGCAGCTGAACTGCAGCCAGTTGGCCTGAAGCCCACAGGGCAACAGGACTGCTGCTCTGCTGTGGGATCTCCTCGTGGGGTAGGAGAAAGAAGTAGAGCAAAAAAACCCTTCCTGTGGAAGGGAGGGGGCTGGGGGGGAGTGGGGAGATGGGGGGAAACAAAACAATCTGAAAAACAAACCAGCTGCTCCCCAGCAGCCTGCCCAGCCTTCAGGCCAGTCCAACCATCCAAACTGAGTGTGATAATTCCCCCAAAAAAACCCCATCTAGCCCATGAGTGCTCCACTGAGCTCCTGAGGCATCTGTGGAATGACTTTTTATTTATGGAAGATGGAGGAACTGCTGAGGAAATGCCTGGAGGAACAACTCAGGGTGGCACAGGAGGAGAAACAAATGGAAAGACCAAGGGGAAGGACCAGAGCAAACCAGTTTGAAAATATTAATGAGTATCCATTTAACATGAGAAAGACATGGAGCTCCTGGAGAGAGTCCAGAGGAGGCCACAGAGATGATCCAAGGGCTGGAGCAGCTCTGCTCTGGAGCCAGGCTGGGAGAGTTGGGGTGTTCAGCCTGGAGAAGAGAAGGCTCCAGGGAGACCTTAGAGCAGCTTCCAGTGCCTGAAGGGGCTCCAGGAAAGCTGGGGAGGGACTTGGGACAAGGGCAGGGAGGGATGGGATGAGGGGGAATGGATGGAAACTGGAAGAGAGAGATTGAGGTTGGACATTAGGAAGAAATTCTTTGCTGTGAGGGTGGTGAGACCCTGGCCCAGGCTGCCCAGGGAAGCTGTGGCTGCCCCATCCCTGGCCGTGTTGAAGGGCAGGTTGGGTGGGGGTTGGGGCAGCCTGGGCTGGAGGGAGGTGTCCCTGCACATGCAGGGGGTTGGGACTGGATGGGCTTTAAGGTCAGTTCCAACTCAAACCACTCCATGATTCTATAAATGTTGATGAGGTCTTAAACCCCTTAATTAGTGTGAGGGACCCAAAGCCACATTCCCAGCTAGAAACACACATCCATCCCCCCAGCCTTCCCCAACCACTTTCCCAGGATAAACTGCATCCTGGGTCAAACTGCATCTTGCCAAGTTCCCCACCTTCTGGAACCACCCTCAGGGCTCCTTTGCCCCAGGGGGACTGTCCAGCCCTGCTGGTGCCAGGGGAGCAGAGGGATGCAGCCCATCTGCTCTGCTGCTTGTTTCTGGCTGGCTGCATCTCAGGGATGGGAGAAAGTTAATTAGACATCTTAGCACCTGGGAAATAAAAGCCTTGATGACCTTCATTGACTCTATTGGAAAATAATTTCAGGCTGTTTAGCTTCCTTTCTGCACTGAGCAGATCATCAATTAGCAACCAGCAGTAAAATACAGTATTTTTAACCAAATCTCATCTGCTGTGCTGCACTATCACCCTTGCTGCTGCAGTGTCCCAGATGATCTCAGTATTGATGGTTTTGTCCTCAAGTCCTGATGCTTAAATGGGCAAAACATATTTTACCCTCTAATTAAATGAAATGCTCTGCTGGGTGAACATTATCTTAAGTTTTATAGTATGATGGTGCTTTCTATCACCTTAATATATCAGCACAGCTCTGTCACTCCAGTGAGGGATTGCTGGATGATTAGTGTAATCCATCATTGCAGCAAGGTGTTTCCATGATATATTGCTTAAAAGATGGAGCCATCAGGAAGAAAAAAAAAGGCACGAGCAGGCTCAGGATAATTACAGGATAAAAGGACACTTCATCATGGTAATCTGATAATGATTTGACCTGGAAGTGAATGGAAGCAGGGAGAAGGGAAAGCTAAAGGGAGAATGAGAAAGAAGCAGAAATTTCCCCCAGTGATGGATGCTGGGAGAGAGGTGATGTGAGGAAGAACCAAGATTTCTGTGTTTAGAGCTAGAATGGGATCCATCACCCCAGCAACACCCACTGCAATGCCACAAGGCTTAGCTAAACCAACTAGCACCCACTGGGAGGGAGCAAAAGCTCAGGATGGAACACAAGTCTCCATCCCTGGAATGTGATACATCTCTCCCCACAGAGCAGCTGATTCCCCCTCTCTCCAGGACAGGTGACTCCTCTGGCCTCATCCCTTTCAGGTGCCAGCACAGACCCTCACCCTGCAGCCCTGGGACCTGCTCCTTCACCCTTCAGTGCACTGACGTGAGGTGGGTGTTGGTCTCTTCTCCCAGGTGAATGATGACAGGACAACAGGAGATGGCCTTAAGTTGTATCAGGGGAGGTTTAGGTTGGGTATTAGGAAGAATTTCTTTACTGAAAGGGTGGTCAGGTGCTGGCACAGCTGCCCAGGGAGGTGGTGGAGTCACCACCTCTGCAAAGATTCAAGAAATGTGTAGATGTGGCACTTCAGGACCTGCTCTAGTGGGCACAGTGGGTGTTTTGGGTTTTGGGTTGGTTTTTTCCTCATCCTGGATGGACAGTTGGACCCAGTGATCTCAGAGGTCTTCTCCAACTGTGCTGATTCTGTGTGATTTTTAAACACCTGTGGATGGGCCACAGCACTAAAGAAAGAAGTGGAGATTTTAGGCCACTCCATGAACCTTGAGCACAAACATCTCTGTGTGCTTTCAGGTGCCAAACAACTCCAAAGGAATTGCAATTCCTTGTGTAAAGATATATGTGTGTGTGTATATACATGTATAAATGTAAAATGTGTATAAAATATAAATATATAAATAAATGTATAAATATTTAAAATATAAATATACAGATATACATACAGAAATTATACATTATATATATTATACATACAGAAATTATACATTATATATATAATATACATATATATAAAATGTGTATAAAACAAGGGAGCCATTAGAACCAAGTGTTTACATTACTTCAAATTATATTCCCAGCAATAAATGACCACACAGCCCATTAATTAAAGAGCAGCAGCAAAAGTCCCATTCCTTTTGTGCAGCACCTGTGCTTCTGCCAAGTGCTCATCTCAAAGCTGTGTATAAATAAATATATAAATAAATGTATAAATATTTTAAATATAAATATACAGATATACATACAGAAATTATACATTATATATATTATACATACAGAAATTATACATTATATATATAATATACATATATATAAAATGTGTATAAAACAAGGGAGCCATTAGAACCAAGTGTTTACATTACTTCAAATTATATTCCCAGCAATAAATGACCACACAGCCCATTAATTAAAGAGCAGCAGCAAAAGTCCCATTCCTTTTGTGCAGCACCTGTGCTTCTGCCAAGTGCTCATCTCAAAGCTTGGCACTCACTGAGAGCTACTATTAAAAAACCAGGGGGAGATCAATCAGTTGCATCTATCACAAAACAAAAGACCAGCCAAGAGCTGCCTCTCAGCTGAAGGGACAAGGTGGAGGTGGAAAACCATGAGGGAAAATCTGCACTGAGCTGGTGTGATGGGTGAGCTGGAGGAAGCCAGAAGCCTGGTCAGGTTTGGCTTCAGAACATCAGGGAGGAAAAGATAACAAGATTTCTGTCTAATCACAAAAAACTACTGAGGAAAACATAAATAACCTGCTTTGGGCCATTCATCTTCAGGCCCAGGGTTAGCAGGCAATGTCAGACTCATCCAGTTTCTCAGACCATAATGCACTTAGAGGTTTAAGTTTCCATCCAGAAAGTCCAAAAGGCAGTTTAGGCCATTTAAGAAAAAAAAAAATGTTGTCAATTTAAACAGCAGCTGGGTTATATTTGGCAGTGACTCCATCAGCCACAGTTGACTGATCTTTGTTGAAAGGCAAAGGAATAAACCAAGTGAGATTTGTTTCTGCCCCCAAGGACTGACTCCTGTGGCCTGTTCCTGAGCTCAGGTGGCTCCTGAAATTTGCAGTTCAGGCTCAGATGAGCTTTGGGATTCCAGTCCTGGTGAGCCTGGAAAGCCCAGGGTGACCATATTGTGAGAAAAGGCTCTTTACAGATTGTCACCACCTGAAATACACATTTTTTTAGCTGAAAACAAACCTCCTAGAACATGCTGGACACCAAAAACTCAAGTCCTGTGCCCACTTGTTCCACCTCAACCTTCAACTCATCCTTATGCCAATGAAGCTCATTTTACAGGTGGTTTAAGTCATATCTGAGGCCCAGACAGGGAACTGACTGAATAAGCCCAGATTCATGCTCCAGCCAAATTCCATGACCTAATCATAAAAATGTGACCAAAAGAAATCAGATCTTATCTCAGGAACTCAAGATTGCACCTTCCCAGCTCCTAGGGAATGGCTTCAAGATTTTGCTGTGAACTCTAACACAGGTTTTCCACCTGAAAAGCAGCAGTTGGGGCACCCACCACCCTCATCAAGAATGTCCACCCCTGTAGGGGCTGCACGAGCACTGTGAGGACACTGAAGTGACATTATCTACAAGTCCAATGGATTCAACCAAGTTCTGCTTTCAAGGTTGAGTGTATGTATCTCTGATATTCACACAACTACCCAATATTTGTGTATTCAAAAAAAAGAAGGCATCCAAACCCAAGATGGCTTTCTGTCCATCACAGGCAAGAAGGCAGTTGGAGCTTCTGTTTGATGCTCTGATGCTTCAATTGGAAATCTGACCCAAAAAAACATAAACTACCAAAAAGAAACTGGGAAACCCAGCTGTCTGGTGGGGAACTTTGCTACCAATCCTTGCTCTCCTTTCTGATTCATGGCAGAAATTTTTACAGGCAGGTTTCTTTCATGGTAAAACCTGCAGGAGCTTATTGAGACAGCCTTTTTTATGATATATTTCAGTTTGGGTCCTAATCCCAGACTCATAAAGGCTGGAAAAGACCATTCAGATCATCAAGTCCAGCCTTTGACCAACCCCCCCACATCTCCAGACCAGGGCACCAAGTGCCACCTCCAGCCTTGCCTTGAACACCTCCAGGGATGGTGCCTCCACCCCTTCCCTGGGCAGCCCATCCCAGTGTCTGATCACCCTCTCCATGGGGAAGTGCTTCCTGATGTCCCACCCAAACCTCTCCTGGCACACTGCAGTGCTGAGCTTTCTTCTGTAGCATTATGCAGGAACCAGATATTTCCTCCCTCTGCCCATGCCTGGAGACCCCATGTCCCTGGAGCAGAGGAACAGGGCAGGCTTACAGAGCTCCTGGGAGCAGGAATCCAACTCCTGGTTGGATTCCCTGTATGGAATGTATGGATTTCTGGATTGAGGGGAAGGTTTGATACAGCAGCTTGCCTTTGATGGCACAGTAAGTCTGTCAGACACTGGGGTGTATCAGGAGGCCTGTATCTGAGCCCTCACTCTCTGCTGTGTCCCCTCCTTGCAGCACAGGACTTCTCTGTCCTGCAGGAATTTCAGCAACCTCCAACGCCTTGGGATGGAACATCTCCTACAAGATGGGGCCATAAGGTTGGCTCAGGGTATGAACCTGAAATGAAGACTAGGAAGGGGGCAGGGTATGAAGAAGCTGCTCAAAAGTGAGGATGGAAGCTGTTCCTACCCTTCCAAACATGACTATGCCCATGGCAGGGGGGTGGGACTGATAATCTTGAAGGGCCCTTCCAACTCAAACCATTCTATGATTCTATGACTTAGGTGGTTCTAACACTTCAGACACATGGTCCTGCCTGCCCAGAAATTCTCAGCACCCACCCTTTAGATACTTAAATACATTGACAAGGTCTCCCCTCAGCCTTCTCATCTCCAGGCTGAACAGTGCCAGCTCCTTCAGCCTTTCCTTATCAGAGAGGTGTCCAACCCCCAGTCATCTTTGCCACCCTAAGGAGACACGTTGCAAATCCACACTCTGTCCCCCTGTCCCCCCACCTGCTCCCACCCCTGCCAAGTGACTCCTCACCTGTGGTCCCCAGCCATGACATGGGTACAGTATTGCTGTGTGGTTCTCCTGGGGGCCCTGGTCCAGGCAGACATCTTTAGCCTTGTTGTTTCGAAGCTGGAAGAAAGGACAAGTGCAGTTATGTGGCCCTGTCTCTGCAGAGCAGCCATCAGCTGATCACAGGATCATCACAGAATGTTTGGAGTTGGAAGGGACCTTAAAGATCACCCAGTCCCACCCCCTGCATGGGCAGGGACCCCTCCCACCAGCCCAGGTTGCTCAGAGCCCCATCCAACCTGCCCTTCAACACTGCCAGGGATGGGGCAGCCACAGCTTCCCTGGGCAACCTGGGCCAGGCTCTCACCACCCTCACACTGAAGAATTCCCACCTGATCTCTAACCTAAATCTCTCTTCTTTCAGCTTAAAACCATCCCCCCTTGTCCTCTCCCTGCAAGCCCCTGTAAAAAGCCCCTCCCCAGCTTTCCTGGAGCCCCTTCAGGTCCCCCTGGAGCTCTTCTTCAGACTGAACAGCCCCAGCTCCCTCAGCCTGTCCTCGCCAGAGCTGCTCCAGCCCTCAGATCATTTTCATAGCCCTTCTCTGGCCCCGTTCCAACAGCTCCACATCTTTCTTGTGCTGCACAGTGTGGGGAGCAGCAGTGACTCCAGCCTCCCTGGCTACACCAAGAATCCAGGGTGCTCTATCACCAGGCACAAGCAGGCAGAGAAAGGTTTAATGTGCCATATGCTTTCCTTAAATACCAGGCCTGATGATGACTGCTTTGCTGTGATAATCACCATTCAAAGGAGCCAACTTCCTCCAGCACAGTTTTCTTTGTCTATGGTCGTGTGTGGTGGCAACATATTTTTAGGCTGCCCCCAGCACGTTGCCAGGAGCCTCAATTCCAAGCAGAGCTGCTTGTATTCTGAGGAAATCTCAACATGCTCCACAAAGCAGGGACAAAAAGCCCAGCCAGCTCCAGGAGCTGCTTGGAATCATGTCAGGGATGCAGGAGGAGACACAGGGATGGCAAAGCAGCCACCACAGGAGGACACACTTTGGAGGGAGAGTGGACAAAGCGGCAAAGCTAAAGGGCCACTGAGCCCCAGCTCTGAACAGGTTGCCCAGAGAAGCTGTGGCTGCCCCCTCCCTGAAGGTCTTCAAGACCAGGTTGGATGAGCCTTGAACAACCTGATCAAGCAGGAGGTGTCCCTGCCCATGCAGGGAGGTTGGAACTGGATGATCTTTAAGTTCCCTTCCAACCCAAACCATCCTATGATGATTCTATCTCTGTCCTCCAGTCTCCTCGTGCAGGGCAACTGCAATCCTGCCTTTGAAAACACCACTTTTGGGGTGGTTTCAGCTTGAAGACATTAAATAACTTTGCTAATAAATCTTTCTTAAAATTCATGCCCATCCGGGGTGCCCGGGCTGTGCTCCAAGAAGCCTTCTCAACCTGCCTCTATGCCTTGAGACCTGATTGCAACAGAGGATGATTAGTTCCCATAAATGCCTGGTTTTATATTCCCTGTATGGTCTCAAAGCCAGCAGAGATTGAATTAAGTCTCCTTCCCTCATCTCATCCTTAAGCTGTCGTGACAACGCACTGCATCTTCCAGAGACCTTGCAAGGAATTAGGTTGAGTTCAGCTCAAAAGAGTTTTATGAAATGACTAGGTATTAAAAATACACATTCAGCTGCTTAATCCACTCAGTCAATGGGCAAGACAGATAATTTTCTGTCAATTCAGTAAATGAGATATTAAAATATCGGACTGTGTAAGGAGTCCAAGACCAGAAATAAATCCCAAATTAGGTTTTTTTAAAAGGAAACTGTGAACAGATTTATTACAAACATATCTAATTATACACAAATTGTTGGGTTTTGATTCACATTCATCTCCTTTGAGACTATTTCTCATCAGCTGTAAACACTGCCAGCCTGATCTAAGGGACTGCTCAGCCCTCATTACCTCCCCATAAGCGATGGTGTTGTTGTATCTTCTCATTTCTGGATAAACATGGTCCAGGTACCACTGGAAATTTTTGCACTTCAAGCTCTTCCTTAGTGCTTTTCTCTCAGAAACATCCCCAATGTCAATACCTGGATTCTGAAAAAGACACACACAGCAGGTCACTGAAGAGGTGAATCTTAATAAAAACGAGTGCGTTTCACTTCCAAGCCTCCTGGGAAGTGCCAAAGGCAGGAGTTAGTCCATGCAGAGACCATGCCAGGGAATTCTGGCATGGATGTTCAAGGCTGAAATCACCCTCACTGAGGTCACAAGGAAGACTTAGTTTGCAGAGCCACAGCAAGGAGGAGACATGTACTTCTCTCATGGGTCTTGAAGGCAACCTTGCAATGGCCACCAGGCTGCTGCTGAGCACTGATCCTGGGAGGTAATTCAAGAATCCAAGTGGAGAAGAAAAGGTTTTTGAAGGAAAAAGGTTTTGAAGGATATGACAAGTGCAGTGTGAGGGAGGTGAAGCTTCCACGGATGCCCCTGGGCTTTGGATCCATCTAAGACTGAACCTGTCAGGAGGCACAGCGACCAAGTATCATTGACAAGTTTCACCTCCCTTTGAGGTGCTGATGCAGTGGACTTGCAGAAGAGCTGAGCAGCAAATGTAGATCAGGATTTAAAAGATGGTCACATGCTGAATCCTGGAAATGCAAAGCCCTGTCTGTGCACTGAGCACCAAAGCCTCCCCCTTACACACCAAGGGTGTGTGACCCCACCAAGAGGTGAGGCAGAGGTACAAAATGAGGGAGGAGAAGAAAAAGAGGAAAAGTTTCTATATTATATATATATATATATATATATATATATATGCTATATATAAGTCTCAAGTATAATAGAAGCAGATAGCTCAGAATAAAGGATCAAAATGACAGGGCTAAATGTTGAGGCTAAACCTCAGAGAAACCTCTTGACAATTTGGACAATTCTGTGGTGAAAGTGTCTCCCTGGAGACACAGAGGAACCTCAACTTAAATGCAATGCTCTGGGTGGCATCTTTCCCCAGAGGAACACTCTTACAGGGGTGGGGGCTGAGGAGACCCACCCCCTTTAGCCTTTTCTTCCATTACAGAGTTTGGGGAACTAATGCACGAGCCAGGAAACCAAAAGCACATTGCAGCCCCTTTTCACCCTTCCTACAGGTGCTTGGGTTTCTACTCAATTTCAGTCCCTGCTTCTGTCTTTTCCAGTGATCATTAAACATAGCTGGGAAGGCAATTTTCCATTACAACACTTGTAATGATCATCTAATGAATTATTCACTCTGCTTGAGAGACGACACCATTTTAATGCACAATCAGTAGCTCACAGGTAGAAATCAAAGATGATTCAGTGTCGACAGGTAGGACAGGCTGAAATCTGAGTGGGTGAGGTGGGATGCAGAGCAAAGGCCCACAAACCAGTCAGCACCTGAAATATTCAGTTCACAGGGGGTTGGCTTGGGTTTGAATATAGTGGCAGGGCAAAGTAATTCCATATCCATATGAAAATCCCTATTAATAACCATTTTAATATCCAGAAACCCCTGCACAATACCACCTGTCAAACAAGGCTTCTCTAAAATTAAATCTCAATTTTACTGGTGTGGCCTATATAAAAATCCCACATTGTTTGTAGGGAAAAAAAAAGGAAATCAGTTTCCCCAGACCCAGGGCCTGGCCACGTGATGCTGCCTTGGCTGAGCCAAACGGAACCTGCAGCTTCTCCCTGAATCTGAATCCCTTTTTGCTGTGCTCCAGAGCTGCTCCTGGGCAGGACCATGGTGCCCCACATCTAAAAGGCAGGATGAAGGCTGCATGATTCCTGCCCAGCGTGTTGGGATCTTACAACCTGTTTTTAAGAGAGACCTGGAACCGCTCAGCCCTGCAGGGAACTCGGCCTCTCCGAGCACGTGGAGCAGTGCCCATCACATCCAGTGCCCTCCTGCAGCTCACTGGGTGAAGAGCATTTCTTTCCAACTCTTCTTCTATTTCCCAATAAGAAAGTAATCCAGGACTCTCCACCTCCAGCAGCCCAGGCAGCTCATCAACACTTCCCAGGGTCCTGTTGCCAGGAACCCTCCCCAGGTGTGACCTTCCCTCAGCAACTTGTGTCTTCATCTTCTCCATCATGCCCCAGAGCAGAGGGTGCCAGCAGCAGGATCAGGACCAGGCAGATCTTTGCAGGGGGGTGGTTGGCAAAGTATGAATGGTTGGTGTTTATTTTTGGCACCAAGGGGGTGGCTGGAAGTGCCTGCTCACCCCGGGTCTGGCTGCTTGTGGCAGCCCAGCGCTGGTGCCAAAGTTCCCTGCAAGTGGAGGGGGTGTCAGGGGTCACCCCGAATCCATGTCCCACCCATCACCTGAAAAGCATCCCCACCACCCCCTCCCCAACACCCCTTCTCCTTCTGGCAGGACCAGAGGCCAAGGGTGGGGATGCTGGTCAAGCCACGGGTGCTCCCAGCACACTCTGGCCAGTGTTTGGAGCTCGGAGGCAGAAGATGTTCTTGGGTTGCATGATTAGACATAACCTGCAATGGAGACCAGAGCCCAAGCAGCAGCCTTGGACCTACAGGAAGTCCTCCTGGAGCCTAGAGAGTAGGGAATCACCTAGAGAGGTCCATATGTAGGATGTATACCCAGGGCATGGTCAGCTTGTCTTGCTGAGGGGACAAAGATTTTGGTTTTCCAAAGGTTTTTTGGTTTTCCAAAGGGTTTTTGGATTTCCAAGATGCTGTGACACCATCTTTGTCCCACCATGCTGTGACATGGCAGGTTTTACATGAAAAACAATGTGTCAGAGCTAAGAAAATAAAATAATTCCTGTATGGAAATAACTGTAACCACTGAGAGTGGTTTTGGTGCCTTGATAGGTGGTGCTGCTGGGATGGGATCTCCTGCGAGCCATCCACCTCCCAGCCTTTACCTCTGAACATGGCTCCTAAGTACTGATGGCCTCAACTTTCCCAATGCTGGGAAAGCAAATGGCCCAGGCAGCTGGGCCACACATCATCCAGAGCAAGCTCTGGGCTGTGGCAGCATCTGCAGGCTCAGGAACCCGAGCTGGGCTGCATGCGACACAGACCTGCGGGAGGAAACCTCCTGCACTAACGATGCTGATATTAATCATCTTCTTTACAGACAGACATCTGCAGAGCAGCGTAATGACATCAACTCCTGCTGTGTAAACACTCAGCGGGGAGATAAATGCTGCAACACAGGTTTAATTTTTAGAAATTAAAATTAAAAGGCTGATGTGAACCTTCCCCAGGGCGCAGGTTCTGCAGAACCTCCAGCAAAGCTGCGGGAGCCCTGCTGGCTCCCACCTGAGGATGTGACCTGTGGTAGTTAAGGCTCTCCATCCCCCCCAGGGCACTAAATGCTCTGTAATTCATGTTTTTAACCCAGTGAAGACTCAGGTGAGGGCGCAGTGGTCGTACCTCCAGCGGCAGGTTCCAGGCGATGTAGACGTGCGACTTGTAGTCGTCCATCCAGACCTCGGCCACCCGCAGGGCGTTGCGCTTGGTGTAGAACCCGATGTTGTTGTTGTAGGGCTTCTTCTTGCGCTCGATGTGAGCCACCCTGGAGCAGGGCAGGACCTCCATGCTGCCCCCACACAGCCACACCTGCAAGGCAACCACACGGAGCCCTCAGCACCGGGCTCTGCTGACACGCAAAGGGCTCGGCGGTGCATTGAGGAGACAGAGGTGGTGGAGTCGGAGTTTTTGGTGACATCCAGGGCAGAGCATCACACCCTCTAGCTGGCAAGTGGAGACCCAAGGCCAGGTTTGGCCTTGGCTCCAGGGTGAGACACACAGGGAGAATTTAACCTGTGCCCAGAGCAAAACACGTGTCAACTTGAGAGGGAAGGGGTCTGTGCCCAGCACGAGGCACTAACGTGTTGTAGGGTCGGGTGTGGGCTTTGTAGTGATGTGGCTACTGAACACAAAGGATTAGAGACTGGAAGAACCGAAACAATTGCAAAATCTCCTCCTGCAGAAGGGATGACTCAGTGAAACACACGGCAGGGACAGATTTGTCCCACTCCAAAATACTTGTTCATTATTTTTCTTTCACGTGCTCTTTACAATTCCCTTCAATCACGGTTGACAAGTTAGTTTACAAGTTATTAAAATCTTTTGAGATCTTCTTTATATCCCACGGAAAGGGAATTGGCAGAGACTCCCCCACCTGAGCTCTTCCCCTCCTGTTTGTCTTCACCAAGAAGTGATTGACCTGAAGTTAAAGCCACATCGCCCGGACACCAGGCACGGGGCAGTCATTCCAAACACATATCCCACCAGGCCTAATCATCCTGGGTTTGCCTCTTTTGCAGTCTGCTCCACATTATCATTTTGCAGTTGTTGTAACACCCATCGTTTCTGGGATCTCATCCAGACTCACCACCTTTTGTCCCATCTGTGTTCCCTTCATGTTATCAGCCCCGTTCAACCTGCTCCTCCGGCACCACTGGCTCCATCACTCCCCCTTTTTAATCCCTAAGTAGGTTTAGCCCACCCAATGCAGGGCACGTGCACCTCCCAAACCCAGACAACACAAGCAGGGGACATCATCCTTTGGGATTAGCCCAAAGGGCATATCCTGTGGGATAATCCTGCCACTTGTGTTCTTCTTGCTTGGATGGCTGCAGGTACAGGAGCCCACACCATGAAATCAGAGCCCCATTTCATTAACTGGTGCATAAATGTGTAGCAAAACTCCCATCTTATCCCTGTCCTGTTCTTTGACCTTTCTGGACACTTTTAAATACAATTTGATGTCTCCAAAGGGAACTCAGAGCTGGTCTCTGAGACAGGGGCATGCCCATCCCTGCTCTCCAGCCATACCCACGCTCATCTCCAGCCAGCAAAGTCCACAAGGTCTGCTCCAAGCTTTGCAACAGGCCACAGGCTGGCCAAGCAATGAGAAGTGAACATGGTAGTTATAAAGAAAACAGAATACTTGTTTAAAGCAACATTCCCAAGGCAATAGTTTGACACAAACTGCCTGTGTTTCTTGCCTGCTCAGTTCTTTAGTTCCTCAGTGTCTTGGTGAAACAGCAGCATCAAGCTCTACCCTTGGGTCCTCCCAAAGCTGCTGGAATGAACCTCCCAGTTCTGTAAAACCCCCAGCACCACCAGTTCTTGTTGTTTGGGGGATTTCTTGATTTGAGATCAGAAGAACTACTTTTGAAATGTAAAACCTGTTATGTTCATTAAAATGTCATTTTCCAGCAAGCCTGCCTCTAGCACTGAAGGTGCAATATTGTTTTTCTATGCTTTAGTTAAATCATTCACATGGCCTTGTGCTAGACAGCTTTCCTAGATTTCTGGAGTATCTGCACAAACTGTCTTGAAGACTGAGAAGACTGTTGGGCACTGGGCAGTGGGCACTGGTTGTGTAAGTATCCACAAGCCAGTTCCAGAAACAACAGTGAAAATGTAATTCAAAAAAGGCACTTATGCAACCAAAGACCACGTGGCTAAATAATGCCAACATTCTCATTATAAATTAAAAATTCTAACTGCTTTCGCAAGGCATTTAGAATAATTTCTGCTGGTATCAACAGGAGCAAGGAGAACTATCATGTGGGAAATAGCCAAGTCACACCAGCATCACTGAGGGGTGACCCATGGCCCTGAGGAGCCTCCTGGCTCCATCACTCCCCCTTTTTAATCCCTAAGTAGGTTTAGCCCACCCAATGCAGGGCACGTGCACCTCCCAAACCCAGACAACACAAGCAGGGGACATCATCCTTTGGGATTAGCCCAAAGGGCATATCCTGTGGGATAATCCTGCCACTTGTGTTCTTCTTGCTTGGATGGCTGCAGGTACAGGAGCCCACACCATGAAATCAGAGCCCCATTTCATTAACTGGTGCATAAATGTGTAGCAAAACTCCCATCTTATCCCTGTCCTGTTCTTTGACCTTTCTGGACACTTTTAAATACAATTTGATGTCTCCAAAGGGAACTCAGAGCTGGTCTCTGAGACAGGGGCATGCCCATCCCTGCTCTCCAGCCATACCCACGCTCATCTCCAGCCAGCAAAGTCCACAAGGTCTGCTCCAAGCTTTGCAACAGGCCACAGGCTGGCCAAGCAATGAGAAGTGAACATGGTAGTTATAAAGAAAACAGAATACTTGTTTAAAGCAACATTCCCAAGGCAATAGTTTGACACAAACTGCCTGTGTTTCTTGCCTGCTCAGTTCTTTAGTTCCTCAGTGTCTTGGTGAAACAGCAGCATCAAGCTCTACCCTTGGGTCCTCCCAAAGCTGCTGGAATGAACCTCCCAGTTCTGTAAAACCCCCAGCACCACCAGTTCTTGTTGTTTGGGGGATTTCTTGATTTGAGATCAGAAGAACTACTTTTGAAATGTAAAACCTGTTATGTTCATTAAAATGTCATTTTCCAGCAAGCCTGCCTCTAGCACTGAAGGTGCAATATTGTTTTTCTATGCTTTAGTTAAATCATTCACATGGCCTTGTGCTAGACAGCTTTCCTAGATTTCTGGAGTATCTGCACAAACTGTCTTGAAGACTGAGAAGACTGTTGGGCACTGGGCAGTGGGCACTGGTTGTGTAAGTATCCACAAGCCAGTTCCAGAAACAACAGTGAAAATGTAATTCAAAAAAGGCACTTATGCAACCAAAGACCACGTGGCTAAATAATGCCAACATTCTCATTATAAATTAAAAATTCTAACTGCTTTTGCAAGGCATTTAGAATAATTTCTGCTGGTATCAACAGGAGCAAGGAGAACTATCATGTGGGAAATAGCCAAGTCACACCAGCATCACTGAGGGGTGACCCATGGCCGTATTCCCACATGGCCTGGTCATTTGTCCCACCAAAGACCTTTAACAAATAGTTGACCTTCCTCTTCAGTAGATTTTTCATGTTCATAGCAAATAAACCTACAATCACTCCAGATTGTACTTACTGCAATTACCAGTGTCAGCAGGACAATCAGTCCAGCAGGCTGTTTCTGCTTCCTCCTTGAAGAATTATCTCTTAGTAGATGGGCAATCAAGAGTCAGCACAACATTAAAACCAATCAGAAAAATAAGGTTGTGCCAAATGAATGTTCAGCCTGTTTAACAAGGCAGAGTCATTTCTACTGCTTCCTCCAAAGGATGAAATCACCATCACTTCATTGTATAAAATATGCATGGATGGGCTGTAAAAACATGTTTAAAGACTCCAGACAGAGAATGTAACACAGCAGGTGAAATATGATGAGCAAGCCTCAAGTTTCTCCCTTATTTTCTGACATTTAAATCTCAACCCAACTATTAGGTTGCCATTCATCCACCTGTGAAGAGATGCAGAACTATAAACAGAAGCCTTCCCCTCCAGTAAGGGAGGGTGACTCAGTAACTTCATCCATCCATCCACACACAGGAGTGATCAAACACACAGAAAGATGCTTGGATTTATAAATAAGTGATTTAGTGAACACTACATATCAGTGAAGAAATCCCAGAGAAACAAACAGAAAACTAATCCATCACCCAGAGATCCTTGATGTGTTGTTCACACATTGCAATTATTCTGCAAGCAAAATGGGACTGTCCTAAGAACTGAGGAAGGAAAAGCACCAGTTCCTCTGGAATGTCTAAGTAGGGCTGAAACTGCATCAGCCACTGCCTCTCAAGCAGTGTTTGCAGTAGTTGTCAGTGTGAGACTGCACCACCTTGTTACAGAGATGGGATGAGCCAGCTTTGCTTGCCAATCACCCTCCAGAAGCACGAAGGTCTCCAGGTGTGTGAAAGCACTGGTGAAGCAGCCTGAAGCTCAGACCTGCTCCAAAACAGGGAGCAGATTCAGTGTGATGTGACAGGGCAGCAGAGCTCCAAGGCAGGTCCAGGGTGTGCACCTGCATGTCAGTGTGGGTGTGCAAGGACTCAGCCCAAAGTGCTCCCTTTAGAAGAGCAACCAAGCTGGTGAAGGGGCTACAGAACAAGTCCTGTGAGGAAAAGCTGAGGGAACTGGGATTGTTGAGTTTGGAGAAAATGAGGCTGAGGGACATTGCTCTCTGTAACTCCCTGAAAGGAGGTTTTAGTGAGGTGGGAGTGGGTCTCTTCTCCCAAATGAATGACAGGACTAGAGGAAATGGCCTGAAGTCACACCACAGGAGGTTTAGATTGGATATTAGGAATAATTTCTTTACTGACAGAGTGGTCAGGTGCTGCCACAGGTTGCCCAGGGAGGTGGTGGAGTCACCATCCCTGGAGGGATTCAAGAAATAGGCAGATGTGGCACTTCAGGACCTGCTCTTGTGGGCATGGTGGGTGTTGTTGTGTTGCTGTTTGTTCGGTGGTGGGTTTGGTTTGGTTTGGTTTGTGTTTTTTTCCTCCTAGGTTGACTTGGACTGGGTGATCTCAGAGATCTTTTCCAAATGTAATGATTCTGTGATTCTATGTTTCAATATTCAACAACAACACACCCCTCCACTTCCCAGCCACGACAGCAACAGCTTAACAGTTGGAATTGGTGATCTTAAAGGTCTTTTCCAACCTAAACAGTTCTATGATTCTGTGATCTCAACTGCCATCAGCTTCCTGGCCCCAACTTGCAAAATCAGAGTTGTTTTCACATTGCTCTTGTGAGCCACTCTAGATGTC